AAATCGACATGTGATAACGCGAACATTCGTACTTTTATTTGTCGCATTTGCGGCGTAGCTGGCGCGCAATTTCGTTGTGCACAGTACAATGTAAGATATTTATCGGGATTTTCTTTGTCGCTAAGAGAAAATCGTCTTCAAAGAAAAAGACACTCTCTACATATGAGTAGAGTGGGTGTAAAGAAAGTGTCGCCAATGCATGTTCCTATAATTGGTTCCGCCATTTATAAACAAATTTCCGATGAACTCTTTAGTGTAATCTTTCTAAGTCATATCAGTCTGGATTTTAACATGATTTTAAAACAATATTTAAGAAACAGTAATTATTTGCTACAAATTAAAATTTCAACTTGTTATTGTTACTTTCACATATTTTAAAATTGCCATTATGTGATTATATATTTTTTCTCAAAATGATGATTTCCGAATAATTCATGACGCTCTTTTTATATCCATATTTACATATGAGTTTAATTGCAATTATCAAATAATTTCCTAGACATAAATATGATTTACTATATATGAATAACGATAATACGAAACCGCTTTTGTTTTTCTTTATTTTCGGCTCCCGAATTGGACGCACTGATACGTATGCATATCGATGATTGAACGTGTCTCCATTCCAACACGAAGTGCGAACCGTATTTGTTTTGAGAGTCAATGTAAATGTAACCTTTCGGAAAATTGGATTTTCTGGTGATAATTGGGAGGAGCGCGTATCTCGCGCTGCACACGTGTACAAACATGAATCGATCTCTTCGTGTTTCTCTCTCGGTTTACCGATTACGTTTTTCCTTAATCCAATTATCTGAACGCCGAAAGGGAAAATTTGGACAAAGAGAAATCTAGGCAGAACACAAAATCTGGTTGCACCGCCGGTCGTAAGGTGAAGATGTAACTCATCGCTGATGTCGGCACTTTTTTCGACTCGTCCTCAGAAAGGCTCGTAAAACCCTTTCCGTTTCTTGTAACGCAAGGCCACTTTGTTACAAAAGCGGATTCGCCATAGTGTTGCCGGGATTAAGTTCACTAGCCCGGGGACAAACTCCATAACAATCATCATAAAATTAGAAGTTTATGCATTAACGCAGGGTACAGCGGTATATATCACACGTTCCTCGACAAAATCAGAGCGGTAAATGGCACTTCCGAAGACCATTCTCTCGTGATCATCCATTGTGCGCGCCGCAGGTTCGATAAACCTTCGAAAAGAGAGTGGAAAAAAAAGGTACTTTTCGATGCCGACAGAAACGAGCCAAAATATTAATAAATGGGGTCATGTATATTTTTAAAAGGAAACGGAATAGGCTTTCTAGTTCTATAATTTCCACATTTTTTTAAGGGTAGCGCGATAACTAGAAACGTAAAGATTTATTACAGTCGGGTCCCCGTATTATCGCCATATTATCGCTTCTTCTGTCGCGTTGTTCTGTCACATTTGCGTGACCACGCATAGAATGAGAGAGCTCGCTTAATATTGGAAGAACAGCAGAGGAAAAATAATGAGAACGTATATGGGGCTACTTAATTTTAATTAGGATTATGAAAACGTAAATCGACTGAAGTAAGCAATAACATCACAGATATTTAATAGATAAATTGTAATATGTAAATATATATTTGTTTGACGTTTACTCGGCCGTTAAAATACAACGAATATTTGTCTTCATTTTTATATAACAAAGTAATTTATTTTACCGATAGCGAGTAATTTTTCTATTATACGGAAGTCAAAGGTGTCACTTTGAGAAATAAACTTAGCACCCACGCTATCCAAACATCAAATTGAACGATAGCATATAGTTAAAACGCGCTATAAATTCCTTGCACATCGTACAACGGTATTTCACGAAATAAAATGTTCGATGAAATCGAATGGTCGATCGATATCCGGAATATGATAAATGCAACACGGGGTCTTCGGCGCACGATTGACCGATGTACTTATCCATTAAACTGATCGCGTAATCGCGCACTTGTCCCTCGTATCGCCATCAATCCTCGCGGCAATCTCTCGTCTCGTGTGGGCACCCTCCTTTGAGAGCTAATACTTCCTGGCATCGACGTCGCGAGTACGCCTAATAATAATATCGTTCGGGAGAAGTAAACGCGGTCTGAAACGCGTGTCGCCGTTCACCGCACACGCGCGCACGCGAGTTCACGAAAAAAATCTCGTCATTTAATTACGGCACATCTAGAGCGCGTAGCTCGTAACGGCCGCTAATATTAGTACCATTCGCGGAAACGCGCTTCCGAAAAGCGATTAACGCAATACGCGGCACTCGCGTTAAGCGCCAAGCGATTTCGCGTCGCCTCTCGGATCGTGCAGCGTTAATTTCCTTTTGTAAAGGCCCCGCCACGATCTTAATACTCGAATGCGTTTTGACGTTTCCATTTAGTTTCTGAGGTAAAAACTACACGGAACATCTCCATGGATAATCTAACTCTGGACGTTACAATAACTGTTACGTTTACTTACTGCCCGTATAATTATGTCGCGATGCAATATTTAACATTAACATTCTTCGACAATAATGAGGTGACTAAATATTGTTTCAAGTGGAGTTTAACACATCTGTTATTTTATTATTACTGAAGCTGTGGAATGTCGACAGAAGGCCATTTGCGTTCTTGGATGTAAATAATATATTATAAATTGGAAGATTAATTTTCGTATATTTATGATGTTTCCGCAAATTCCGATGGCTTTTGCAGATTATCTAACGTATGACGTAGCGACAAACAACTCGTTGACTCGTTTACTCGTTCGGTGAGAGCGGTGCGAAAAATATTGCGGGTAATTACAAAATATTTCCGGTCGTCGCTCGTACAGGCCATTATTATTATTGACGTTATGAAGGTGTGTCACGCGCCGAGCAGAAGAACGGAAGAAACGGCTGTTCGCCGGCGTGGTAATCTCTCACATGTCGCTTCGGGACATCGCAGATGCGTGATCCACGAGCGAGGAATCAATAGAAAGTTAAAGATCGTCATAACACGTCGATTCCAGGTCTTTAACCGTGATCTCGCCCGACACTTATCGCCCGGCGTATTTCCGTCATGCGAAAACCCGAGGAAGACACCGGAAGAGAGGTATCCATGTGTATCTGTCATTATCGTCGGAACGTTATAACGTGAATAATGTGTCTTCTTGAAACGCGGGTAATTTTTCGTTTTTATTATTAATCGTTATCAATCGCGTTAAATCAACATGCATTAACAATAACTAATTAAGCCTGCGCGCGTCCCATTGTTAGATAAATGTGCGCAATTTGCACGATTGAGTAATTTAAAAGATGCAAATTAAGAAGTCTAAGAACTTTAAAAAAACCGACGATTGAAAGAGTAAATCATTTCAATGCCACAAAATAACAATGTACTGATAGATATGGTACTATTATGTTAAATATCACAAGTAATTTGTATTGTGTGCCACTGCAAATTACAACAATTTAGATTTAATTATTAAATTATTACCATTTAATACCAGGAATTATGTATTGTCATTGTATTTCCTTTCTTTTTTCTTCTTTTTTTCCCGTCGATTGTTCTTGTACGTTCATATATTTTTCGCAGCATTTTTTTTTGCCCACTTATGTCTACAACTGTGTTAATATTCATTGATTACGAGTTTATTGAAACGTTGGTATTATACGTCGAGGTATTACTCATGAGTGACCCGTCACTTTTACGACGCGACATACGCACAGGTCCGGAAAGGTTGCGCGGATCCTAAGTATTCGTGCGAGCGAGCGAGCTCGGATTAGCGTTTGCTGACTCGTATTTTTGGCACCTGCCACACCTAATGCGCCACGAAATTCGAAACGTTCCGTATGTCAGGCTAGAGGGCTATAAAGGCGTAAAATAAAGCGTTACTTCGGAAAGAGTTGAGTGTGGCCGGCAGCGCGCTTCCTGGACTCTCGTGAGGTGCATCAATCAAAATTAAAATCCGTATTCATCGTCGATATTTAAACTCACCGACTCTATACGAGCGGTAGGCTCCGCGAGCGATCAACGAGCGCACCGTCTTCGCACACATTCTATCCTATTTCTCGGGATGTGCTGAACGCGACGTAACGATGGTATATTTTAAGCAATCTTGAAATTGCATGACCGAATATCCGAAACTCATCGTCGAACGATTTGCGTTTTTTTCGTACAGCTGATTATATCGCGGCTGGTATTTTTCCGCAAGAGATTGGCTGTTTCAGGTATCGCCGTAAACATTCAAGTTACACGTCGCAATTAAAAGTGAAGAAAAAAAAAATAAAAAAACAAAATTATTCAAAACCGTTTTAGTTAGATGATGTTGCCCGTCGCTTGTGACTTGAATCGCGAATGCCTTATATCACGCGAAGTAAAAGAACTTATATCGCATAAAAACACCGCAAATATACAGTGCGCCCAACGTATATAAGTGCTGTATTAAAAACAGTACTTTACCGAGCGAGAATTACTTAATGGGAAGATCAACGATTGAGATAAATAAGTATCATTACTGAACTGATTCTTCTCATTTATTCTAATCATACTTGATAGGGTAATCAATTTTCGAACGATTTCATATGTATTATCATCAATCAATTATGGACCAATTATTTTTCTAAGATATACGAAGATAAGAATTAGAGTATTCTAATGTTTTTTTTTCAAGGATTATTTATCTTTATGTTGTAATAAAATTATGCAATACAGAGAAAGAAATAAAATCTAATTCAAGTATTGAACTATTCAATTAGTTAGCAGTTGTTTTTTTACAAATTGCTTATTATAATAATAATTAAACAAATCGTGTGTATAAAATACGTTAAAAATTTCGTTAGAATACAAGATCCGTTTCTAGGTAAATTTCATGCATCTATATCTCAAAAATTATCGTTAGCTTGATACGATAATTTTCCCCAAAACTATCCCCATAATTTACTTGAGACATATTCTCAGTCTTCATGTTGCAAATCCGCTTACAAAGAGAAACGTGAGAGTCTGCGGGTGCTTACCCTGACTGTGCTCGCCCGCGTCGAAGGTTTTGCTGGTCATTTGGAAGAGTGCGTCCAAGGGACTGCCCTGCCCTGTGGTCCTCTTGCCGTTTTGGCCAGCGTGGGAGCCATGCTGCTGCGGCATTTTCCTCTTGAGCTGCTGCTGCGGCTGCTGGAGCGCCGGATGATGCAGGCCGGGATGAATGCCCGCGTGATGAAGCGCCGCGTGATGATGGTGATGATGGGCGAGCGGGTCCGGGCTACCGGAATCCGACACGGAGCTCCTTCCGGACGACGAGGAGCTGCTGAGGGGCGGCTCGCTGATGGAGCCGGACATAGACGCGAGTGACATACCCATCAGCGAGAGATCCCGGGGCCCGGTCGCGTGACTCGGATGACTACTGTGGTGATGATGGTGGTGCAAATGGTGCTGATGATGATGCTGCTGCTGCAGGTGATGACGGTGCTGATGACCGAGGCCGGAATCCGTCGTGTCCCAGGGACGGACGATCTTCGCCTTCGGCCGATGCGACAGGATATCGAGGATGCTGAAAGACTTGACTCCGCGGTCATTGGATTCCCGTTCCCTCTCGTCCTCCTCGTCCGAATGCTGCATCTGCACCATCTTCAGGCGCTTCAGCGGCTTGAAGTAGTCGTCCGTGGTACCAGCGGCCGCCGCTCCGTTGCTACCGGTCCTACTGTCCACATCTTCCTCCTCTTCCTCGTCCTCCTCGTCGTCTCTGAGCGTCGTGACCGAATCGCCGCTCTCGCGAGTCCTGCTGCTCGTTCTTCCGTTCGACATCCTGTACTCCCCGTTGCGGGAATAATCTCTCTCCTCGTCCTCCGTCACCGAGTCTCGCGGATAGGTTCTCCTGGGGCTCAAACGGTCGGCGTAGTCCTCCCTGGAGGAGGCCAACTCGTCCTCCGTATTAGGCGTCGCGACTACAAGCGGCAACGGACTGGGACAGCCCACAGAGATCTCGTCCTCGTCGTCCTGGACGTCCCCTCGGCCCGGCGAGCCTCTGCACGACGTCCGTCGGTGTGCCGACGAGCCGCTCACGCAGCCGGGCGTCACGGCGCTGGAAGATACCGTTGTCGACGGCGACATCGTGTACGATTCCGTCATCTCCGTGGTGCACATGCCGCGTGCGGAATATAAGGAAGGAGCTAAACTAAAAAAGCTCGAGACACTCGCCTGGTGGCTTTTGGCAGCCAGTCGCGAGGCCACGGCAAGTTAGCCTTTCAAGCACCGCGCATTCTTCCGATAACGCACTTGTGTTCTAAAACTGTTCACGGGATCACCACACACAGTCTATCATCAAGTCTCATTCACTGGCCCAACATGTCGAGTCCTCGACAATCTTCGCGGCAGGCCACAGTCACGAAACCAATCGCACTAATCGTTATCGACGATCTGTCAACGCACTCGCATTCTCCGTCATCGCGCTAAAACCGCCACACGAGTCACATCATTGGCTTCCGGATCCGTTCTCCCATTTCTCTCCGAGACATCTCTCTCGAGCTGTAGCTTCCTTCAAATGTCAGCTGGCGCGGACGAGAGACGTCAAGTGTCATTCCAAACGTCGGACTCGTGTACCTCCTTTTCACTCTAGCTTCACCGCTACCGTCATCCGTTCGAAACTGAACACCAAAATATGACACCGGGGCTTCATTATAGCGAGCGAGCTGTGGAACGCTTCTGTCCTCGAATGTCCTCGCACGACAACCTGTTTTCGGTCGAGTGTAGAAACACGACCGGATGTCACACAGTGTCCTCCTCCCTTCGCTATTCTGACTGAACACCAGGCACACGGAAAGAGAGAGAGAGACGCGTCCTGACGTACTCCGTACGTCGCTGAGATATCCGCGGCGATCGAGATACGCGCGCGAAACGTCAATACGTCGGCGTTTAACGAGTTTCGGTGCTAAGGAGGCAGCCGGGTGCCTCCTCTCTCAGGCCAGTCGAAGCCGGTGACGCGAAATGGTACGGTGGACGGGGATCCCCCGGCGCCGGCGTTGGGCAGGCGCTTTCCTCACAACCGGCTCGGCGCACGCGTAGAAGAACGGTGGAGCCGTTCGAGTCCGGCCGCGCGCTTCGAAGCCGCTGCCACGGTACCGGGTACCACCTCCGTCGCGAGAACGCGCCCCTTTGGCGGTTCCGAGGGCCGGGCGAGATCGGATCCCGCCTACGGTAACCTAACGTAGCCGGGAACGGCAAAATGACGCCGCCGCCGCCGCCGCCGCCGCCGTCGCCGCCGCCACGGGATGGAATTTTTACGAGACGTACTTAACATCCCGCAGCGTCGCGGCGGGCGCGACCGTCCGTCCTTCCTTCCTTTCGCCCCCTCTGCTCCTTCCTCTCTCCCTCTTTATTCTACCCCCGAAGTAGCTCCTCTACATCTCGCGCTCCTCCATCTCCCTCTTTCTTTCACCACCTCGAAGCCGCTCGCGTTCTCTCGCTCGAGAATGACGTGGGACTGACCCTCCACGACGCGGAGGGCGACTAACGAGGGCCCACCGTGATTTCGTCCCACCCGGAGCGTGGATTTCGGCCTCCGCCGCGAGCGGATCTTGGGAACGGATTATCGGACGCGGGATGTTAACGGCCGCGTCCCCGATCACGCCGGGACGGACGACTTTGAGACGCGGGCGGCGCGCAAATACGTCTGATAGCGCGCGCGATATATTCCGTACGAGGAACCGACGAGGACTCGCGTCTCTTCCGTGGTATTATGCATTATACATTATGCGTAACATCTCTATAATTTGCGTTTGTCAGTTACTTCCTCTATCATTATCCACGTCTTTCTACTTTACCTGTGTTATCGCACGATTATTTGAGCATAAAATATAAGTACGCGGCACAACGATATAAATATAACGATAAAGATATTTTCGATTTTCTTTATATATAATATATATGTATATATTTGCGAGGCAAGACTTACAGAGTTAAGCCGCGGCAATGTCGACGTGTAAATTGTACCTGCCAGTTGCAACGCGACAAAGTTATCGTCTCGTGAGATATAGTTTGTAAATATGAATTATGTTAGATTGTATAAAAAAAATTGTGTAATCTACGATTTTAAAATCAACAAAATTTTTTAAATTAGAGCATCGTCTTTTTTTTTTAGATGCACTCACTACATAAAAGAAATTCTTTCTCATGTAATCGCGACGGATTCTCAAAGATTGCAACATTAACTCAACAAGCGCGGAAGTATCGCCAGTGATCAGAGATAGAGTTGATCGAGTATAGGTCGAATTGTCACAGGACAAGGAAGACGATGGCTGCCGTAGATAATATCGCGGACGATTGCTTGCCCATTACAACGTTAGAAGAATATCGCGTCTATTACATATAGATCATTATCTACAGTCCGATTTGAAAATCGATTTAGCTATGTAATTGCGGCAATCTTGTCGACAACTAGCACCGCTTGATATTACTTACTGTTATAAATGTCATTAAATTCCAAAGGTGAAAAATTATACGCGAAAGGCAAATGAAAATTCCATGCTATTTTTCTTTAATTATCTTAATTGTCCCTTTTAATGACTTTGTCGTGAGACAAAATAAATAATAGATCTACAAAATATATAGAGATAGAAATGCTAGAATTTCAATTATCTTGAAATTATCACATGAAATTCACATAAATAATTTATAGTTTCATTTATACTTTAAAGAATTTATTTTTATTGATATTTCACAAAATGTTTATAAATTGAAGTAATAAGTTGCAGCAATTAGTAATTTTTTAAATCTTTTTTTTTTCGAATAAGAATATATTTTTGTTTTATTATTAGAGCCAGAGTTCATATGAGTGTTAAAATTTGTGAGCAAACTGCAGAAATTTCAAACAATTCAGACTGTAATTACTTGTCTTTTGTAGGAATTTTAACAAATAAAGAAGAAGCAAGCGTGTATGTATACGTTCCTACTGAATAGGCTCAATTTAAAGAGAACAGAATCGAAGACCGCTGAATTCTATAGCGCATGTCATTTTTCTTTCCACATGGTTCGTGGTTTTAAACCGATAGAATCGCTCCACCGGACGCATCCGACGGATCGTTATACGTGTACGTTCTGTCGTCGTCCGAGTGTATTTTCAAGCTTTTTGATTTTCACTGATAAAAATTAAAAACATTATAAAGTATATTATTTATATATTTTATATTTATATATTTTATGAAAAAATAAATATGGAATTATTATATAATATTATAAGAACTATTTTAGAAACTCTCTATTGTTCTCGTTATTACAGGTATTAATATTTGGTATTATATTTGAAATACAATTTTCATTTTTTTGATCTATTAATATGATAATATTAAGGAAACTTTCACTCGTTAATTACGGATGAGAGTTAATTGCCATTATTATATAAAAAAAAACGTAGCAAAAAGGAGTCGCATGAAAATTCATCTTGCATTACATACTTCATATATACGCGCGCGCAGTATGTCTCTGTCATTTCTATACGTCGTAAATCGATATTACCTGCCGATTTGTGATGCAAATGTGAATTTATATAATACCGAGAAACAATTTGCTTTCACCGAGCGACGAGTCGCTTTCGTGCCTTCGAAATTTCACAGAAGCGGATTTCGCGAGCCTGTAATGTGAGCACCGATAATTGTAATAAATCGCGCCAACCAATTTACCGCGCTTAGCAGTACACGACGATACTAAATTGTGCGCGACTGCATGCAACGTGTAATCCAATCCCACCGACATCCTGCCTATCTAGATTGCCGCGGATTAATAGTCGTTATTTCGCATAAGTAGCATAACTGAAAAATGCCGCGTAAACGCGATGTGTATGAAGGACAATTGTCTCTCAGTACTCGGAGGCAATACGCGTCGCCCAGGATTGATGTGACTCTCATAACAGTGTTTTTGATATTGATAAATTGATACGGAAGGAAACTTGAGGAGTAAATTTCATCTGTCAACAGTTCTCTATACGATTGAAAGGGTGTGATGTATCAAAGTGGAAAACGGGAGAGGTTATCAAATAATTTTCTCATATTTTTTAGCTCTATTTTAGATCTTGTCTTTATTTACATTTCATTAACAATAATGAATCTCTTCTGTTAAATCGAGCTGTGTCGATATGAATAGACACATAACTCCGCTGTCATTTTGTGGACTATTCAAAGTGGATACATGACGCGAGACAAGATATTCTTTCACCAAATTGAAGCCGTTATTTTCCTATCGAACACTTGATTAGACGTTTTCACTCATAACTGCTTAATTTCGAACATTAGGCAGCCCGATGACTAAGCTTGAAATTGTAACTGGGTCTAAGGCACAATACATATCCACTCGGAGATATATGAAAAATGAGACTTTGTTCTTCGGAAACAGGCATAATAATTTCGGTTGTCAATCACTCATAACACGCGGGAAACAATTGGTCTCTCCCGTCTCCCGCTACGAAAGATGAACTCCGAGCGGATCGGAGAGGAACACGCTCTCGCCCAAAGTGCCTATTTGTTTCGCGGACACCCTGTATTTAATTCTAATACACGACATCACGCGATACCGCTCCGGCAATTAAAGAATCGTAGAGGAACATTTATTGAATCAATCAAACCGGTGCGAAACCCCGGCGGCGGCGGCGGCGGCGGCGGCGGCGGCGGCGGCGGCGGCGGCGGCGGCACCGCTGAGTACCCGCCGAACGCGAGGATCGCGATCTCTCATTCACCGAAATCAGTAAAAATCTTTTGAGAGTCCCCGTAAGTCCAATTTAGCGGGCAGAGGGAACGGTGCCGACCGCTCTTCCCGGCCAGTTCGACCAACCGGACCGTTCGTCCGTCCGTCCGTTCGTCCGCGGCCCTTTTTCTTCCTCTTCTTCTGCGTCCTCGCTTCTTCTTCTCGGCCTTCCACGTCGGCTTTTCTATCCCGATACAAAGAGGCGCGAGCGAGCCTAATTATTATGATAGCTCGCCACCGGATTCTGTCGGTCCCTTTGATCTGCCGCCGTTTAGCATGATCCCCCGATATTTAGGTAGGCTCTGTTGTCCAGGAGGGCTTGGAGGGGGCACCCTCGTGCAGTAAAAGAGGAGAGAGAGAGAGACGAATGCATGTGCATGCGCGTGTGTGATCGTGGACAAGGGGGAGGAAGACGGGAGGTAGGATTTAGGGAAGGAATCACCGGCGGGACAGGGACGCGATAAACTATCCATCAATGAGGATTTTTTTTCGAAAAGTTTACGCCTGTGTGTCTCTCTCCCGTCCCCTCCCTTCCCTCCGTCTCCTTCGTCCTCGTTTCTTTCCCTCCGTCCCGCTTGATTGCTTCCAGCGGCCACCAGTTTCGTCGTCCCCGGGCCACACGCGAACGCCGATTACATTAAGACATTTTTTACAAAGTAAGAAAGACCGACCTTTAATTGATAATTCCTTCTTTTTCACGCGCCGCGTCCGTTGGTATGCGCTCCGAGCGGTAAAAAATGGCCTGCCTTTTATGCGTGTAACGAGAGACGATTGTTTGATGTTTTCGATTAAAATTGTTGAATTGCAAAATAGCGCGGACGCTTTCTTTCTTCTTTTCTGCGAACACGCGTGCAGTCATCGTTTTATATACATGTGCTTAGTAACACGTTTAATACTATAGCATAAATATGACACTTAATATTACTATATAATTTATTTGTGTGTAACATTCTAATGTGCAATATATGCGTCTGAAATTTCTCGCACTTATGAAATTCGCGACTTCGCCGTTGTTCTCGCTTCCGTTCACACGGTTGTTTGTGGCTTAAAACACCAGAGATCAGCGTAATGACATATTGTAACTTGTAGAGTTAATCGCATGCA